CAGAGCGAAAAATACAACAAGGCATCTAGACTGGACAAAGAGAGGATGGCAAGGAAGCGAGACAAAACGGCATCAAGAGGGGCAAGAACAGAATCTGCTGCATGAGCTAAGCCTGGTGTGCGATACTCGATGCAGCTCAAAATATGACTCTCGAAAAGGTGCACGAGTTCACTGTCTGTATGAAACCGCCGGGTGCGAAGAAGAGTGAGAACTTTCCATCCACATTCGCACGCGCACTCGTGCACCGCATCTCTCATGAGCAGTTTCGTGTCAAACAAAACCCCTAGGCTTTTAAACGACTCTCCGTAGGGTCTGGTCTTTGACAAGCTGGCTGGCACCAGGGAAGGGGTTGAGATCCCCCGGGGCCGAGGGCCGACGATGATGATAATGATGATGATGATGATGATGATGATGATGATGATGATGATGCTGATGCTGATGCTGATGCTGATGCTGATGCTGATGCTGATCCTGATGCTGATGTTGCTGCTGATGATGATGATGATGATGTTGATGTTGACGATGATGATGATGCTGATGTTGATGATGATGAGGATGATGATGATGATGATGATGATGATGCTGATGATGCTGATGATGCTGATGATGAGGAGGAGGAGAAGTTTCGCTGCGCAACTTCAGGGGGGCTCGTCTGCCCTGTAAGTGGCTTCGGCGGCGAAATCTGACCCTGATCCTCGCCGATCCGCGCTTCAGGCAATTCGATTGGCGGCAGCGGTAGGGTTCGGAATTCGTCGAACACGTGGCGGGATCCGAACCCTACCCACGCCTCCCGTCGATGCAGAAGAATCGATGGTTGGTGGGGGTAGGTTTCGGATGTCGCCACCCCTGGCGGTCCTTTTCCTGGTGCACGGCGTGTGCTCAACGCGGAGCCGACACGGAACCGACGTGGACTCGTCACAGATTCGACGCGGATTCGTGGCGGATTCGACGCGGATGCGACGCGGATTCGGCAGGTTCCACCTGGACTCGACGCGGATCGCGGCGCGACAGACACGGCCCCCCGACAGTGCAAGGCGAGACAAGGATTTAGGTCTTGAACGCTCTGGTGGCATTTCGGGGCCTCCTGCGCTCAAGGTCTTCTCCCGCCTCGTCTTCACGCTCCCCAGGACCGACGAGGAGCGAGGACCGCCGAGTAGAAGGATGATGATGGTGATGATGGTGATGATGATGATGATGATGATGATGATGATGATGATGGTGATGATGATGATGATGATGATGCTGATGCTGCAAATGATGATGATGATGATGATGATGCTGATGATGATGATGATGATGATGATGATGATAAGGATGATGATGATGATGATGATGATGGTGGTGGTGATGATGATGATGATGATGACGGTGATGATGAGGATGATGGTGGTGATGATGATGACGATGACGATGGCGATGATGATGATGCTGATGATGACGATGATGATAATGATGGTGCTGATGATGATGATGAGAATGATGATGATGCTGCTGATGATGATGATGCTGATGATGCTGATGATGATGATGATGATGATGATGATGATGATGATGGTGATGATGATGATGATGATGATGATGATGATGATGATCGTGGTAAGGATGATGAGGATGAGTAGAATGAGGATGAGGATGATGGTGAGGATGAGGATGGGGATGAGGTGAGGATGACAATGGGTCATCGATCCTCGGATCCGGGCTACGCCAGAAACTCGCGACGGCTGGTCTCTCGCATGTAGTCTGAGGCCTGTAAAGGACGTTTCCCGGACCCAGCTTCGCGGTTCGAGGACCGAGGAGCAGACCCCGGGCTGCGCACAGACAGCCTTCCAGGGCAGTCCGGGCTGGCCTCGGCAGGCCCCCAGGCGGCGCCAGGGTGTGGAGACCGCTCTGGACTGCCCCGGGGGCCTGTGGGGGCCAGCTGGGACTACTCGGTGGGCCCATGGAGGCCAGCTGGGACTACCCGGGGTGGCGTGTCTCTGCGAACCAGAGATGCACCAGCGATGTTGCTAGGGGGCCACATTCGAACCCTACCCCTACCCCCCACGAACCCCTACCCCTACCCCACAGTGAACCTCACCCTCCCCCTCAGAAGTCGTGGGGGGTAGGGGTAGGGTTCGCATGTGGCCCCCTAGTTGCAGTGCACCCTCCTGCCCCACTTCCCGCCTTCCACACGTCCCTACAGGCTTTCCTTTTCACTGCAGGGAGCGCCTCCCCTTGAAAGACCACCACCAGAAGGGCCTTCCATCTGGGCGACGGCCCCGTCTTGAAAAAGACACTGGATTCAACGGCAAGTTTTTTTGTATTTTGCAAAACTTTTTTGTATTCCAGAGGAGGAGGCGCTGGATTTCAGATCCGCACCTTTTATGGAACGCGAGGATCTGCGATCGTATAGTTTATAGAGGTTTCTAGCGGGAGCCCCCTGTCAGAACAGGGCCGCCCCCCCATCCGTCCAGTTGTTGCATAAGTTCACACTGGTGGACATGAGGTTCCGGAAGTCTCAAGCGAGAGCCCGATTGAAAAATAATGGCCAGAAGAGTCCAGTAATTATGGATGTTTCGTGTATCCCTACCAGCTCCTGGCGTGCGCCTCCTGAGCGGCAGCGAGGCTCGCCTTCTGCTTGTCTCTTCCCCTGCTTGTTCTTGTCCTCTTTCGCCCTAATTCCTCTCTTGCGCTAATTTAGGCCGTTGCTCGTCAGCCCAGCCAACACCAGACGCCAGGCGAGTTGCCTCGAACAGAGATGTGCTGCAACCTGGTTGGGTGGTTGCCTTTCGGTGCCTGCGGTGCCTGTGTTACGTCATGCGTGACCGGGGTGGGGTTGCCTTGGCAGATCTAAGCCGGAGTAATGGGGGGAGCACACATGTGGGGACCGGGGAAGGCGCAATAGTTCATGCAATAGTTGGCCCTTGGATGCAATAGTTTGCGGCGTGGATGCAATAGTTCCGCGCGGGTGTTGCTTCGTCTTGTTTCGTGCGCAATAATTCAGGCGGTTTGCAATAATTCGTCCCCCCTCGCAATAGTTCGCGCGCAACAGTTCAGGCAAACGAACTATTGCACCTACTGCCGTCCCCCCTTTGTGTTCCCCCCATTGTTCCAGCGTGAAGCAGAGTGGTTACCTGTCGTTGCTCGCCGTGCGTCCGTTGTTTTGGGCATGCGAGCGCCGATGACACGCGCGCTGGTAATTTAGAAGGCAGGGAGGGGCGACAGGCAACCACTCAATCAAGGCAGCCGTGGGCAGCGCGGGGCAAAAATGACGACAACGACGACGACGGCGAGGACCACGACGACGACGACGACGAGAACGAGGACGAAGAGGAGGAGGAGGAGGAGGACGAGGACGACGACGACGACGACGACGACGACGACGACGACGAGGACCACGACGACGACGACGACAAGAAGGAGGACGAGGAGGAGGAGGAGGAGGAGCACGAGGACGACGACGAGGACGATGACGATGACGACGAGAAAGACGACGACGACGAGAAGGAGGACGAAGAGGAGGAGGAGGAGGAGGAGGAGGAGGAGGAGGAGGAGGACGACGACGAGGACGACGACGAGAACGACGACGAAGACGACGACGACGACGTCGACGGCAGGAGTCAACCTGAGGACCTTTGCGATACTTTCGCTCTGGGAGCGTCTTGGAAGCCTCTTGGGGCCATCTTGGGGCCCTCTTGGGGCCATCTTGGAAGCCCCTTGGGCCTTTTTGGGTCTCTCTTGGGGCGCTCCTGGGGCTCTCTTGGGGCCAACTTAGAGGCCTTGGAGTGCTTCTTGGGGCTTTCTTGGGGGACCACCAAAGAGGGGGGGGAGCCGATTTCAGTCCCCCCGCCGGGGCCCGAAACATCGCCTCTGAGGGCCCTCTAGGGCCGCGTTTGGGGCGGTCTTGGGCGCTCTTGAGGCCGCCTTGGGTCCCTTCTGGGCCCCTGTTGGGGCCATCGCGGGCCGTCTCGGAGCCATTTGGAGGCATCCAGAGCTCATCGGAAGAGAGAAGGCGAGACGTCAAAACACATTGAAACACACAGCGGTTTCGAAGGATTTGGGCCTCCAGGGGGTCTCCTTGGGAGGCTTGGATGGCACGTGGGAGCGTCCTGGGGCGATCTTGAGGGCTCTCGGGGACATGTGGAAGGTTATCTTGGACCATCTTGGGATATCTTGAGCGATCTTGGAGGCCATCGCGAGTTCACTGGGGCCCTCTTGGAGCCACCGGGAGGCCGAAACGGAACATCTGAAACCTCGCTGGGGGGGTCCAGACCCAGTGGGAGGGGATAGGGGGAGGGGAGACCCCTCCCCGAAGGGGAAGAAGGAAATTAATTAACAGAACGAGCTCCCTCGGCCACTCACGTCCAGAGGGCTGGTGGTATTTCCGCCCTAGCTGTAATTCCTCTCGTTTGGCCATTTTCCTCTTCCTCTAGTATCGTTCAGATCATAATTCTCCTCCACTTTCCCTCCTCCATCTCTCCCATCAACCTCCCCATCTTCCCTCCCTCCCTCCCTCCCTTTCACTATTCCTGCTTCTGCCTGAGCCGATGATGATGCCGTTGCTGCTGCTGTTCTTGCTGCTGCCCCTCCTCCCGCGCATTATCTTACTCATCTTCTCATTGTCCTCCTCTTCTTCCTCCTCCTGCCGGTAGCAGTGGGAGATCGGAGCAGCGACTGGTTGGAGCACGCATTCATGCAACTTGGTCACTGCAACACCACGCGGGAAACGTCCGCTGTCTTCTAGACAGATGGTGTTGAAAGAGGTTCGCACCTCTCTGGGCCATCGTGAGGGTCTCCCCTGGTGTTGCGTGCAACGCGACGAGCAGACCGTCGTGTGTGCCACGTGTTGATTTGCCCACGCTCACATTGCTAATCCAGATCTACACCGACACCAGCGCTCTTGACTGGATAACGTCGGGAAGCATTCCCAGATGACGACAGAAGGGTCGGAAATCCTCTCGGGACTGTTGCGTCGAGGGAGTCGGCGCCGACTGGGATCAATCCGCGCATCCCCGCCCCAGGTGTCCAGATTCTTGAACGACACGGGGCTGGTGAATGCCCCTGCTGGCTCTCTGCGACCTGCTCTTTTGCGCGGCCGCATCTGCAAGTCCCCCCCTCGCCTTAGCACGGCACTCGGCTGCGCTCTTGCTAGTCGCGCCTTCGCTCCCCGCCCCCCCTCGCACCGTGCACAATCCTCCCGTCTTTCCCCTGGTCGCTCTCTTCCGATATTGCCACGCCCGCCACAAGGAGGAGGAGGAGGAGGAGGAGGAGGAGGAGGAGGAGGCGTCAGAACCAGAGCGCACTTCTACCCCCAGTAGATAGAGCGTTCGCGACAGGAGCACACATCCTGCTTTCGGCTGCCAACTTCTATGCATGGGCGCTTGCCTAGCCGCGTCCCCAGCGACGTGCAGCAGCAGGGGGAGGAGAGGGATGTGGAGACGGAGGACCAGCAGCAGCAGCAGATCAGCGGCACGGGCAGGCGCACGAGGAGGAGAGGAAGGAAGCGGACCGGGGAGCAGGAGCCGAAGCAGGATGAGGATGGTCATGGTGAGCAGGAGCAGGCGCAGGAGAGAACGATGGGGGAGGCGAGTGACAGAGGGGAGGGGGGGTGGGCGATGGGGGTAAGGAAGAGGGCGACGGCAATGTAGTGGAGGTGCGAGGGTGGAGGAATCGGAGGGAGGGCGGGGGCACGGGAGGGATGGAGGAGGGAGGGGGAGGGGGAGGAGGAGGAGGAGGAGGAGGAGGAGGAGGAGGAGGAGGAGGAAGACAGATTAGGGAGGACGGAGGAGGGAGAGGAGAGGGGCAGGAGGACTAAGCCAGGCGCGCTCGCGCCATATTTGACGTCCTGCTCCTCTCGCCCATCATCCCCACTGCGCTCATGCTTTGTCTATGGCCTTGCGGACCTGCACCCCCAGACCCCCTCGAGTAATGAAAAAATCACGACGGGAGGTTTTTCCCAATTTTCGGCCTCGGGGGGCCCTCACTGGGCCTCGGGAGCGTCAAAAAACGACTCAGGATGCAAAGCCGGTCCTAGGGAAAGGGTCGGGATCCCTGGGGTCGACGTAATGAAAAAATCATTACGTCGGGGGTCTGGGTCCCCAGAGTGATCCCACCGCGCGATGGATGCGGGAGACCATACAGGAGACCAGACGTGAGACAGTCAGGTCAACACCTCTGGAAACTGGCAGGGGTACATCAGGCCTCCGAACCAGCAGGGATGGCGGTGGTCAGGGGGAGCTATAGATTCGCGCCTCGGGGTCCCAAACCGGAGTTGCCCTGGACCGCAGTTATCCCGGATAGCTCAGGTCAGGCGTCCAACTCTCCCGAATTATCGGCGTCGGGGGCAGTCCGGGGTAGCCACAGAGTCGTGCCTCGGGGGCCCGAACCGGAGTTGCCTGCACCGCAGCTATCCCGGATAATTCGAGCGTCCGGGTGTAGGTGAAGGTGGTGGTGGTGGTGGAGAAAACGAGGAGGAGGCACAAGTGGAGGAGGAGGAGGAGGAGGAGGAGAGGTGGAAGCGGGGGAGGAAGTGGATGAGGAAGGGGTAGAGGTGGAGGAGGAGAAGGAAACGCTCGTTGATGGTGCGTGCTGCCTTCGCGCCCACAGAGGCCTCGCGCAGGGCACGGCGCAGTCCTTCGGCCCTCGTCTCCCCTCCTGCCCTGCCGTCTCCCCTCGTCCTCCCTCTCTCCCGATCTCTCTCGTGCCCCACTGCTGCTCCCGCTGCTCCCTCCTCCCTACGACCAGTGATTTTCAGGAGGGAAAAAAAACACACAGACACAATTCATCGCCGACTCCCTGGAAAAGATGGGGAAATGTGGGAAGTGGGGGGGGAAGACAAAAACCCAGAAAATATGGAAAAATGTTGGGAATCTTGTGATATGTGTGTATTTATTTGTGTGTCCCAGGGCCCCTTCAAAGTAAGTACACAGAACCGATGGCTGTACGCCAAACATGCTCACCGCCCTCGCCGAGCTTTCGCCGCGCCCCCCTTTCCGCCGGCCTCGAGTTTGTGCGCCAGTACATGCGTCTGCGCGCGCCGACTGCGCCTGCCCCATCCAGTCGATGCAGAGCCCCCACGCTTCTGCACGCAACGACCCCACGCCGCACGGACCCCTTCAGACTCTTGCTCAGCGTCTCGCGCCGCCGGACCTGGCCCACCACGCTGCGGCGCGACGCGCCAGCCGCGCCCCCCGGGCCCCTGAGCGTCGACGGTCCCGAGCTCGTTCCCGGCCTCCCGCCCCCACGGAGCGGAGCGACACGCTGGCCTCAAGTCGGGCCTGCCCCTCTACAGGGGGAATGTCCAAAAGTATTCAAAAAATACTCAGAGGACTATTTTTTGAATATTTGTGGGCACCTTTTTGAACATTTGAAGTATTTGTTTTAGTTTTCGTCCAAAATCCCCCTGTAGGGGGACAGGCCCGACCTAACGCTAGCCGCTTGCAGGGCACAGCGTGTCGCCAAGGCCGCCGCCGCGGCACGCTAAGCAAAAGATAAGGGCAGATCGCTTCTACGGCCGGGCCGAGGTAGAGGATCCAGGTCGATGCGGGGAGCCTGCCCTGACGTTTGTTCGTGTCTGTTGGATGTTCTTGTGCATCCTGGGGGAGGGCACCCTCGAATGTTTTTCATTTTGGCCAGCGGAGGGTCTCATGTTCTCGAAGGATGTTATTATATCCGAGGTCTGGCTGTACATATATATATATACAAATAGATGCGCACACATATATATATATATAGAGAGAGAGAGAGAGAGTTCCCGACCGTATCCTCCTCGCCCTGTTGCTCTTGCCTTTCCTCCTCCCGACATCCTGTTCCTCCTGCTGCTCCCCATCCTGGGGCTGGGCCGATATCAGCCAGGTGAACGCGTACGCGTTCGACCCGTCGCCAAATATCCGCACGCTCACGAAGGCGGGGTAGCGTCTCGCGGTTGTTGTGGCACGTTTTGGTATCCGCCGTCCATGATTCGGACGTGGGGCGCTCCAGAGAGGGCCCTGCCTTCGAGGGAACGAGAAGTTGTGTGTTCCTTCATCGGCGGGAGCAGAACGTAGGCGGCTCCAGCGGCGGAAGCCGCCAGAAGGCCGGACAAAGTTGCGGAAGCAAGGCATGCGCACCTAAAAGACGTCAAGAGTCTGATCTCAGGGTTTCTCCAAAGCTGGCCAGATATGGGGAGGCACGATAGGGGCGCGTGCACCCACAGTCTGGGGCAAGAGGGTGGCAATTTCTCGCTGGTCCATCCCAGTCTCTTCAGTTTTCGCCTGCTCCCCAAGCTCGCGGAGCTGGCAAATGCAGGTCAGGCGAAGATGGGGTGGTAATTACGAAGCACGAAGCCAAGGCTACATTTTCCAAGGACATGGATGTAAAACTAATTGGGCGGAAGTGTTAAGATCACGTGCGCACAGGAAGTTTACAGCAACCCCGTTGCACCGACACGGTTCGGATGAGTTGCGGCATCATTTACGTGCCCTAGTTGTTTTGGACAATGGTCGTATGGGTGCACCTTATATTTTAGATTTGCTGGGCATTGCACGCGTGGGTGCGCATGTGAGAAGCGCGCGTGCTCTTTTTCTCAGCCCTCCCCCCACCTCGGAGAGACACGCTCATCCATTTATGTCCTCCTACTCCTCGCCCTCGTGCTCCTGTTCTTGCATCCTCCCTCTCCCGACCTCCCCGCTCAACAATTATACATTACGAAGGCTGCTCTCCTCTCTTCCGTGATCCTGCCCGGAAGATTGCCCGCCTTTTCCGCGTATTGTTTTCCACGCGTTGAATTCGAAAAAGGATGAGATTTTCTCTTATGTGTTGTTTTGGAAGTTGGTTGAGTTCGGTGTTTCAAAATGGTGTTCCCGGTGTAGCGTGGGCCTGATTATCGGATCCGCTTTTTGCTCCCATCAATCAGGATGGCGCTCTCGCCCCAGCGCGGGCCACTTTCCTGGCTCCGAGTCCTTCCTCATCGTTGTCGCCACCCTCCTTTCCTTGCACTGGGCCTCCTGTTCCTAGCGCTTCTTCCACACCAGTTCCCGCTGCTGCTGTCCGTCATGGTCGTTTCCCTCCTGTCTCATCCTCCTTCTCCTCCTCTCTCCTCCTCCTACTGCTCAGCTCCCCCTTTCCGATTGCGCATAACACGATGGCGGGGTCTCTTTGGGAGCACTAGGTCCGCCATTACACGCGCCCGAGGATAGAGACAATTTCTTGATGCTTCGAGTAGCCCCCACCAGGTAGTCTGGGGGCTTGCACCCTTGCATCTAATTACTCGTCTTCTGTTTCTGGTCGCCTGTCTCCCCGACCTCCTGCAACTCCCGACGCGTTGCATACGTGCACCCTGGCAGTACTCGTATTCAGCTTCAGCCAGCCCCTTCCACTCGCCGGTTCGCCGCCGAGGTGCTGCGTGAGGCTCCGCCCCGCCGCTTTAGGTGTGGCGGCGCCCCGTCGCTTTAGGTTAATTCGTCGTTGCGTGCCCCGCTTCTACTGGACCCGCCGCTGGCGCGCTCGCCTGCGGCCGCTGACTGAAAAGTATCCCCCACCAGCCCCCCTACGGGGCTTTGGTGTGCGAGTTCGCTGGCGCCACCACCCGCACTGGTCAGACCGTGGCGGGCATCTTGGGCCTAACCCCGTGTTGCCCCACCCTGGTCGCACCGTGGTGCTCTTGCGCGCCATTTTGGGCTGCGTTTCAGCCTCGATTGGCCAATTCACGCGCGCGCAATTCGTTTCTTGGTGGTTTTTGGCCCTCGGCGCAGGCCTCCCTGGGAGCCTCTCCAGTCACAGCGGTCGCTCACGTTTTGCAGTCCATTCATTAGCAGCTTGCAGACCCTCGCAGTCGGTCAACCTGGCAGTCAGCACCTGCAGCTCGTTGCGCGGTTGCACCGCCGGGCAGTGTTGCAGCCCCGCCTCCTCTTCGGCGACTTCCTGGTCCCGTTATGATTGGCGGTGTTCGGCTTGCTTCTGCTTGGTTGATTAGCCCCTCGCGCGGCCCGCCTGGACTTTGACTCGCCGCTGTTGCGGTCTCGCTCGCTGCTGCCGACAAAAAAGTGTCCCCACCAGCCCATCCAGGCATGATCGCCATGTGAGTTGCCTTGGTGACGGCAGCGCAGAAGCGTACAGTGCGACAGCCGCGCTGGATGCCTTGCAGGCTTGCAGGGGTGCTGGGAGAGCGAGAACACTTTTTGTACGAGCTATCAAAGGGTAGGTTGAACAGGTCGACCTGGCGCCATTTTGGCTCAATGGGGGTGTTCTTGGGGCCCTCTTCGACGCATGTTGACCTGCCACGGTTATGTCTTCGGGAGGGGCTCCTGCATCACCATGTTGCCATGGTTTGTTTTGTTGTCCGAATGGGTTTGATAAAAATCAAAACATGTTGCCCCGAAATTGAGAGGCCAAGAAGGAGGAGGAGGAGGAGGAGGAGGTTTCATGCGGCCCTGGATGTGTCACTCGTTGCCAGTGCTCTTGCGGGCGGGTTGAGATTCACATAAGATCATAGAACCCCGAATGAGAGCGGAGGAAGAGGATGAGGATGACGAGGAGGAGGAGGAGGAGGAGGAGTAGGAGGAAAATGAGGTCTTAGTGGTCCTTGGGGCCTCTTGGAACGTCTCTGGAGCCTCGGAGGAGTCTCTTGGAGCCCCGTTGGTGTCTCGTGGGGGCGTTTCTTGGAGGCCTCCCTGGTGATGATGGGCGCCTCCCTGGTGATGCTGGGCGCCCCTCTGGGCTCTCTTGGGGCCATCTTGGAGGAGACCGATTAAAGAAGGAGGGGTAACCAACCAATTTAGCTCCCCCTCTTGGGGCCGTCTTGGGCCACTATTGGGCCTCTCTAGCGCCATCTTGGGGCCATTTTGAGGCCCATGAGGCTCATCGGAAGCGAGACAGCGAGAAGCCCAGCAACCCTGATTTTCTTCAGGTTGCTGAAGGGTTTCGGCCTCTTGGGGAGTGCCTTGGGAGGCTCGAAGTGCACTCTGAACCCTCCTAGGGCTCTTTCGGGGTGTCTTGGAGGCACGTCGGAAGCTATCTTGAGCGACATGGTATTATCTTGAGCCATATTGGAGGCCATCTTGGGCGGTTTGCCGACGCGGGGGGGCCCCCCTTCTGGGCCAAGGGGAGGGTGGGTAGGGGGTGGGGTCAACCCCTCCCCCCAGCAGGAGAAGGGGGGGTGGCAGAGAGCTGAAAACAATGTGATAACCCACTCAGCCCAGATGGCTGATGGAATTCGCCGAGCACCCCGGATAACAAAGCATCCCCCCTGTTACCCTTGAGAGTTGATTATCCCGGGCCGCGACGGAGTTGGTTGGTCGGGAAAAAGAGGCGGCGAGGCCGAACCTCATGATCGCCGGGGGAAATACGAATCGAAGTTGCTATCCTCCCATGTTGAGTGGCAGCGCTATCACGAACGTATGGCAGGGATTTGGGGTGCCCATGATCCCAGCTTTCCTAACTCACGCACGCGTGGCAGGGCGATCACTATACCGTACTTTTTGTGCTCTTCCGACCCCTCCAGGGAGGCCCTTCCAGAGCGAGCAGAGTATCGCTACACCATGCTATGTCTCAGGTTTCGTGCTCCTCCGACCCCTAAGCGAGAAGGGCATGGTTATACAAGACTATGTCTTGGGTTTCGTGCTCCTCCGACCCGTCCAGAGAGGCCCCGCCAGAGTGAGCAGGGCATCGCAATACCATACTAATATATCACCGTGCATACGACTTACCTGTAGGAAAAATATGTTCCTCCCAGGGCCCCGAACTTTCCAATCCCCACCCTGTGATTCTCAGCGGTCCTCGGTTAGCACGATGAGATGGTACGGGTGGGAGGGGTCGGATGTCAGATACAGCGCGAGCGCACCTGGCTTGCCCCTCTCCCCCCCCTTCCATCCACCCTCCCACCAAACATGCGGTGCCGTGATGTGTTCAATACGCGGCCCCCGGAAGTCCCGACCTTTTCCTTGGGAGCGGTTTTTGTAGCTCGAGTCATACGAAGGGTGCACGGTTGCTCGCCGCCCCGCTTATGGCCCTCCCATGAAGCAGCGCCTGGCGAAAAGAAACGCCTCCCGCCCCGATGGTTCCGCGACGCGAGCGAGCATGCCAGGGCCCTTCTCCCTCCGCACACACCTCCCCTCTACTCGCCCCCTTCCGAGGGCAGGCATCCGGCCACGAGGGGGGAGCATCTTGGGCCGTCTTGGGGCGATCTTGGGGGGCCTGTGGGTCCGTCTTGGCGCGTCGGAAGCTCGAAATGGCGAGGACACGTTAGTCGCTGAATCACCTAAATGAAATCGATAGCTTTGGCCTCCTGTAGGTCATCTTGGAGCCCTCTTGGGGCAGGGTCTTGCCGCGGCGGACCTCCTCGCGGCGGGCCAAATGCCACGACGAAGCCTTGGGCAGTTGTCGGCCGCCTGGGAGCCCTCGCCGGGCCCCCCAGCCGCAGAGAAACGGACGGCCTCCCATAATGGAGGATGACGATTAATAAATGACCGGGGGTCGTGTTCACGCGGCGGCGCCCGGGATGACAAACCGGCCGCTGGCTGGAAAACTTTTTTTTTTTAAACAAAAAAATCGTTCTCGTCCAGTCAGAAAATTGTGCAGAAATAGCAGGAAACTATTTTGTTAATCGTTCTCTCCCATTTTTTTATCAATCGTCATCCCGCATTACAGGGTCCGAGCAGATGGGGTCGGAGGACCGCGCCGCATCGCCGAGGCATCGGCGATGTGGCTCGAGGTGGAGCCCGACCGTCTAAACGGCAGCGGTGCCAGTGCGTCGCCGGCGTCTCCGATGCATCGCCGACGCAGTGGCGGTGCGCAGGCCATGCGGCGCGATCCTCCGACCCCACCTGCTCCCCTCCTTCTTCACCTCCTCCTCCTCCTCCCCCTCCTCCTCCTCCTCCTCCCCCTCCTTCTCCTCCCCCTCCTCCTCCTCCTGCTCCCCCTCCTCCTCCTCCTCCTCCTCTCCTCCTCCTCCTTCTCTCCTCCTCCCCTCCTCCCCCTCCTCCTCCTCCCCCTCCTTCTCCTCCCCCTCCCCTCCTTCACCTCCTCCTCCTCCTCCTTCACCGCCTCCTCCTCCTCCTCCTCCTCTTCTTCCTCCTCCTCCTCCTCCTCCCCTCCTCCTCCTCCTCCTCCTCCTCCTCCCCCTCCTTCTCCTCCCCCTCCTCCTCCTGCTCCCCCTCTCCCTCCTCCCCCTCCTCCTCCTCCTCCTCCTCCTCCTCCTCCTCCTCCTCCTCCTCCTCGGACCCCATTGGGGAGGCCTCCGGGAACGGCTCGGGGTAGAAGGCCTGTCCCCAGGAAGGGATCCCGTCCTCTGGGCAACCACGCTGCAAGAACAGCTCGAGGTCGGATGTCCGGGGAGGAGGAGGAGGAGGAGGAGGAGGAGGAGGAGGAGGAGGAGCGGCATTGCGGGGAAAGGCGAAGCTCCAGTGTGAGCTTCACGAGAAGCCTCGCCATCTCAGAGCTGCCTGATACAATGTGGTGGATCTGTACCGCTCGCCTCTGCGAGGGGTCCTCTCCACGAATCAGCTGGGGGCGGGCATCACTGGCCACTGGCTGACGGCGGGGCCGACTGAGGAGGATAGCCTCCGTTCCGCCTGCAGCACGGCCCCCTTGCGAGAAGAGGAGGATCCTCTTGTTTCGATCGGAAGCACTGTCTAGTCATAACACGTGAGCCTCAACCGGCTCGTTCGGCAAAACGAAGGTGTAACTTCTTGGTGGCAGTAGAAACTGTTCGCAGTGTTGGCAGAACAGTGGAACTCGCGGCGACCATCGAGTCCGCAGTCGAGCGTCGCGTGCTTGTGGATCTGATCCAAGCCACGTCATCAACCTCCTGTTCATCTTCGACCGCCTGCTCTTCCTCCTTAACATTCTCTCCATCCCCTCCTCGAAGGGGAAGGGGCAGATACATAAGATGTGGATAAGAGGGGCAGGACGAGGACGTGAAGAATGAAGAGGAGGCAGCAGCAGCAGGAACCCCAGCAGAGGTCGAGGCGGTGACCAGCACGCGCTTCCACCTGATCGGGTCGCGAGTTCGTCCCTCCTTTGGTCGAGGAGGGGGAGGAGGGCGACGACGACGACGACGACGACGACGAGCCCAGAGAGGACATCGACGACGGAGAGGACATCGTCGAAGACGAAGACGACGACGGGGAGGACATTGACGGCAGCGTCAACGTCAACGACGACAACGACGACGATGGCGACGCTGTCAAGGCCGACGTCCTCGAACGGCCCCATGCCGCCAGGGATCCGTCGACTACGCCCGGCTGCACGCTGTACCACTGGCCGCCGCTCGGGGGGGGGGGCGGGGGGGGGGGCGGGGCGCCGGAAGGGCAGGGCGCCGGAAGGGGGCGGAGGGAGGGCAGGGCGCCGGAAGGGGGCGGAGCAGGAGCGGACCAGCGCGGGAGAGGCCGGCCATCCTCGGGGCGCGCTCGGGGTGGGGGGGGGGGTAAGGCGGGGCGACGGAAGGGGGGCGGAGCAGGAGCGGACCCGCGCGGGAGGGGCAGGCCAGCCTCGGGGCGAGGAGCACTGTCGTCGGCTCCACGCAAGAGCCAAGCTGGCCCTTCGCCGGAGGGGCCCTGGTGGTGCTGGCCCACAGGGCCCCCCCACACCCCACCAGCACTGCCCGGGTGCAGCTCCCGGGGGGGTGCTCCAATTCTGACGTCGGCCGGGCCCGAAATCCGGCTCAGGGATCCAGCGCCGCCCCGCCCAATCCGGCACAAGCCCGCTCAATCCAGCTGACTCCCGCTGCACCCGCGGCCTCATCCGGCGCAGCAGCCCCCCCCAGTGGGGCTCAATCCTCCCCAGTCCTTCCGGCGAGGACCTCCCAGCAGTTGCCTCCCAAGCGCTGGCCTGCGCGCTGGGGTCTTACTTGACCCCCCCCCCCAGCGGCCCCCGAAGAGCCGGCAACCAGCGGCCCCTCCTGCCCAGGGTCTTCTCTGGCGCGTGGGCGAAGCCACGGCCGCTGGCCTTGTCAGCGGGCGCCCGCCTCGGAGGCGGGAGTTATTATTGAATTTACACATGACCACCGCCTGGTCAGTTTTCGGGGACCTCGACAGGCGGTGGATATATGGATATGTTCGAGCCCCTGGGGCCAAGATATATCCATATCCACCGCCCGTTGGGGCACCAGGACGTCAGTTCCCAGGCGGTAGATCTGGATAAATCCCCGCCTCGCATGGAGCGCACGAGCACGGCATCATTCTGAGGCCCGCGCGAGGCCTTTTCCAAGGCATGCTCGTCTTAAGTCGGGCACGTCCCTCTACATGAGGAATGTTCAAAAGTTTGTCTGGGGACGAGTTCTCGATTATGTGATGCATTTTTGGAGCAAGTTGGGGATTTTCTTATTTTTCGTCCAAAATCCGCCTGTAGGGGGACGTGCCCGACCTGATGCTCGCCTCGCTCCAAAATCAGGGCGGGATGCTGTCCAAAACCGGGGCCCAGGACCGTGGACAAACGAGGACAGGCACGGGCCAAGGCGGGAGGGCGTCGCCTCGCTTGCCCCTTGCCGGCCCGAGGGCAGGCCACTCGTCGCGGCCCTTGGCCTCCTGCTCCTCCTCCTCCTCCTCCTCCTCCTCCTCCTCCTCCTCCTCCTCCTCCTCCTCCTGCCGCGCCCAGAACTGCAGGCCCCTGCCCTTCTCCCTGCCTCTGCCTCCCTCTCTTCTTGCCTCCCTCGGCGTCGCTGTGGCGCACCTGGCTGGCGCGGGTCTCGACGAGGGGCCGAGCCGCAGTGCTTGGCAGCAGGGGGGGGCCACGGGTGTTGAGGAGGAGGAGGAGGAGGAGGAGTAGGAGCAGGAGCAGGAGTTGGAGCAGGAGTTGGAGCAGGACCAGGACCAGGACCAGGACCAGGACCAGGACCAGGAGCAGGAGCAGGAGCAGGAGGAAAAGGCTTATCAGGGTGAGCAGGAGGAGGAGAAGGAGGAGGAGGAGGAGGAGCGGAAGGGAGAGAAAGAGGAGGATGAAGAGGATGAGGAGGAGGAGGAGCAGGAGCAGGAGGAGGAGGAGGAGGAGGAGCAGCAGCAGGAGGATGCGGGGGAGGATGGGGGGCGGAGGGAGGAGGATGAAGAATATCCGGCAAAGTTAGGAGAGGTGGCGGAGGGGAGGAGAGGGAGGCGAAAAGCAGGGGAAAAGCAGAAGAGGGGGGATGAGAAAAGCAGGAGAGGGGCCTTCCTCGGGCCCCCAGTGTCCGCAGGGGGAGCGTGGAAAAGGAGGGCAAGGGGAGAGGGGAGATCTTGCGCAAGGGGAGAGGGCCAAGTGGAGGACCGTGGAGAAGGGGAACAAGGTCCTCCTCCTCCTCTTCCTCGTCCTCCTCCTCCTCCTCCCCTAATGAACGCGATCCTGCAGAAATGACACTTCAGACGAAACATGCAAAAACATACATTATCCCTTGTCTTGGGCTGAACATAAACCGCCGACGATTTCAGGAACAATGCCCAATGGAGTACGGAGTGGTCCGCACGAACGCACGACATTTAGGCGCCAGGCATGAAATTAAAGGTTCCAACGCCACAGAGCTAGAGTTCAGGCTTCGTGCAATGCAAGCAGAAGCAGGCTGGTCTGTTCTCGGACTCTGTTGGGCACGAACGAGGACTTCATCGCCTCGAACGTGAACCTTTCCTGGACAAGGTCGTGGAGGGCGGCATCACTGGTTTGGAAGCTCTTGCATGTTCGCCACAGGAATACCAGAACATCGACTCCGTCACCGGCAAATACTTGAGAGTTTTGATGAGAGGACGAGCCATTACCCACGACGGCCCACACGCCAGATCTCTTCGTAATTCAGAAGTGTGCTTGCGATGGAGGATCTTGCCAGCGCGCGGCAAGTTGGCCGTGCAACGCGTCAAGCGGTTGCAGAGCATGCTGCAGCACCGCCAGGCCCACAGCCAGACCATTGCAGCGATTTTCGGTCACCTTGATGACGAAAAGCCCACTGTACAGTCAAGTGGGCAGCTCAGCGGCATGGCGAATCCGTGGGCACGCACGTTCGACGAGCATGTGAAGCTCTACAAAAGGACCAGCGGGACCGAGAGTGTCTTTAAACTATGGGAGGAAAGTGGGTACTCTTGGTTTGATCTCTGCGACCCCAATAGCGCTTCTATGAGTTCCTGAAGGGCAGCTGCTTTTGTGGATCATAAAAGGTGGGCTACTTTATTTCCTGATCTACATTCCCGCGAAGAACCAAATAAGTATATTCACACGTGTACTATTGAGGCCTCTGACGGGACCCCATGTGGGTTCAAATTCGACACCTACAGGGCCCGCATGGGCCACCAGATTAACGGGCACCATGTGACAGATGGTCTTCACACGGGTGCTCTCACTAACAAATGCCAAACTTGTTCGAGTTACTTCAGATATGTACACAACGCTCGCAAACATCTTAAGCATGCTTACGGATCTGGTCGATGTGTCTTTGGCCGTGTTCACATGTCTTGGGGACCAGATGGAACGCGAGGACCCCAAGAAGACGAAGAGCACGCCAGAAGAATATACCCAAACAACATCAGAAGCCTTGAAGAAGTCTGCCAACGACCCGACACAAAAAAAGTGATGTGCCTCATGATGAAGCTACTCTTGAGCCCCGCCCAGACACAGCGAAACCTAGCGGGGGTGGTGCTTGACACGTTGGTCGCTCCCGCGGACAATGTAGAGCCAGCTGACCCCAGCCTACGCCGAGCAGGCACAGGCCGCGGGTAAAGATCATACTCTGGGCCCCCCACACAGATGGACCATATGAGGTCTCATAAAGCCCTCGTTGGATTAGGAGACGCAGTAGGAGCAAGGACGGCAAAGGAGCTCTTCACGGCGTTCGGGGGGTACGGAGAATTCTCGGTGCTACAGAAGTGCGAGCTCGTGCTATTCTGCCGCCAGGACAGAACGTACCAGAAGGACCCCCGCAGGGTGACAATTGCCTTCGGAGACCCCATCTTTCGGAAGATGATAGTGGATGCCATGGTGCAGATCGAAGGTGTCAAGAGGAATTCCGGCAGGGCCCCAACCTCGTTCATGGAGAGAGAGTTGGAAACCTTCCTGGAGACGCTTCTGGGTTGAGTGGGGCCCTGCCAGATTCCGCGATTAAATGTGCAGATGCGAAGCCTTTTCACGAGTGATGGACGAGAGATATTTCTGAGACGTCTCGTGAGCAATTATGAGGCCCCTGGTAACATGCCCAATCAGACCCCGCCCTCCTCGAGACCTCCGACCTTCCCTCCTGTAATCTTGCACCCTGCCGAACCCCCACCGTGTGCGAACCAGCCTCCCCCCGCTCCGAGACCTCCGACATCCTCCTTCCTGACCCACGCACACATAGCCACGGAATGGTTTAGTTTCGCGCGGGATTTTCCCATGGTCCACCCAGTTTAAACAGATGTTTACGAGCAAACATGCTCTTCGAATGGCCAAAGAGAAGACTAATATGACCTAGTGCCAAGCTTCCTGCGGCTACTTCATGCGTCAGTGGCTGCAGGGGCCCGGCTGGCCCCACCTCGAGGCCCTAGCTGCAGCCCCCGTGCGTAGGACATGGCGTGTGCACTCTCCTCCTACAGTCCGAGGTCCACCGCGCCAGAGCCACCCAGAAACTACACACAATGTCTGCTATTGGTCGCGCGCTTTGGATCAGCCAGCTTCGCAGAGTTCTTGCAGTCTCGAGGAAGATATTGGCGCTAAAGGTGTGCGAATGGAATCGAATCGTCATCGTCCTCATCCTCCTCCTTCTCCTCCTCCTCCTTCCTCCCCCTCCTTCTCCCCCTCCTCAGTTTCCTCCTTCCTCCCTCTCTTCCTCCTCTTTGCACAGGGGAGAGGGGGCAAGGGCAGGGCCCCTTCTGGAGAACCTTCGACGTCATCCTCTGCCTGAGCGCGGAGGGGCCTGGCGGATCAGCGCGGGGGGGGGGCAGCGCGATTGAGGCTCAGGGGCTGAGAGGGTGCATGAGCTGGAGACAATGGACAGGAACGATCGAGAGCCACGGTTGCTGATGATGCAGTACCCCCCACCCCGTTCGCACCGCTCTCGGCCCTGGGCCGCAACGCAACGCATGTCAAAGGAAGGAGGAGCAGCGCAGTCGGTGAGAGCGTTGGCTGAACAGCCCGCTCTGGGCGTGGCGGGGCAGAAGGTTACGGCAGGAATCCCAGAGGAGGGGGGCAGCACGAGGAGCGTCGGAGAGGGCAGAGGTGGGACTTCCGGCATCAGCCACGCGCAGACACACGCGCAGACACACACAAGCACACAAGCACACCCACACCCACACCCGTACACACAAGCACACAAGCACACCCACACCCACATCCATACACACACACGCGCGCACACATTTACACACACACACACGCACACACACACACGCACGCACGCACGCGCACGCGCACGCGCACACGCACACGCACACGCACACGCACAAACACACACAGACACACACACACACACACACGCACACACACACACACACATACACGTTTGCGTCACGGCGTGGCAGAGGCAGTCCGCACGCGCGTCCAGGCAACCTGGGCTACACACGCACACACACACACACACCGTGAAGATTATGAGTTAGCCTACCACCGCCCTTTAGTCTACAACCGTCCTCCAAGCATCATCTCAGGGAAGGCCGACAGGCTCAGTACATTCACGCGAGTGCTTGTTAAAGAGAGCGGCCAGGCTCCAGCTATGGGCGCCACCTGCAAGCTGGACTCCCGAGGTCTCCTTGGGCCATCCCTTTGAGAGACATGGCAGCAGGACATATATGGCATCCCAATGCCAGCTACCTGCGGAGAGCATACAAGCGTGCAACAAAGAGAGAGAGAGAGAGAAGCTGGCAGCGGCTGTGGTGGTGTGAATGCCTCGACGTGCATGCGGCCGAGGCCCAGTCAAAGACCAGAAGGGCGGGCAACCGCGCCAATCGCAGCAGAAGCGAAACCTCTGGAGATCATCGGGCAGGTGCCGCCCTCAGCCCTGCGGGGCAATTGCCTGAGACGATGGCCTTGCCAAAGCCAGCGAATGAGAGCGGAGATCCCGCCAAGCAACGCTGGCCTGAGAGAGTGTCTTGCGCATCCGGGAAGACCTATACTGAAGAATCCGAGAGCACCTGGTCCGAAGGCCGAACTTGCTAGCACATTTAGGCCACACCCCGTTGCCAGGATCTTGGGACACAATGCCGTCCTCTAGTGGGAGCGTTGCAAGAGAGCAGGGGAGGGAAAGGTGGGCGAAGAAAGTCGTCTCCGAGCCAGCGACCAATCATGGAAGGAATAACAAAGCCAAGAGAGGCGCCGAGGCTTTGAAAGACTTCTGCAAAACATGCACGCAAGTTGAGTGCAAGTATGGCCATCTGCGCCGCACCCCATAGGAGGGGAATTGGGAACACACAGTTTATTGAACAATATGTATGAATCACTTGCGCCAGAGCTGCCTGGAACATGATCTTCAACGTGAATGGGTTCAGTGGGGATCGAAAGGCCCGCCTCTCTGATTCAGGTTACGATTGGAGCCTCCTGCACCACCACATCAGTTCATTCACTTTCTGCATCGATAAATGGATGTAGCAGAATGCTGATGCCAAGCAGGTTGATGTCATATTTGCTCAACCGATACTCCAAGATGATGTACTTTATGTTTCCATGTTGCCAGGCTCGTCTTCTTGCTGATCTCTGACCACCAGGCCGCGAACGCTAATCCACCTTTCGGAGTTCGGCTGGCCCAGATGGCAACGGCCTCACGACTCTTGGAGGCACCAGTGAAAATGAGGGCGATCTCGTGCTGCCAAACTGTCGTCATCATCTTGATTGCTGCCGTTCCGGATGCTGGCGGGACAACCCTTGTTGGGCGTTGCGTAATGGGAGGGTCATAAATGGGGGGGGCGAGGGTGGTCCGAAGAGGTACCCAAATGGTACCTAAACGAGCCCCTTGGGGCTCCGGAGGGGCCCGAAAGGGGCACGAAAGGGGACCGTTTCTGACCCCCCATTGACTTGGCATCGCTCGGACGTGTGCATCTTTCCTTCGACGAGGACCATCGAGGAGCATCCTTGATCTTTTCGCGAAAAAACCACGCGCGAACCCGAACAAAAAGACAGGAAATGGACGTCCGAGCGATGGCCAGTTGATGGCCGCCCCATTGTAGGGGGCCACATGTGGACCCTACCCCCCCCCCCCCCCACGACTTCTGAGGGGCAGGGTGGGGTTCACTTCGCTCGGGAGCTTCCGAACGAAGTGAACCCCACCCTCGCCTTCAGAAATCGTGGGGGAGGAGGAGGAGGAGGAGGAGGAGGAGGAGAGGAGGAGGAGGAGGAGGAGGAGGAGGAGAGGAGGAGGGGTAGGTTTCACATGTGGCCCCCTACATTGAGCCACGCCCAACGCTGCTGCTGCTGCTGCTGCTGCTGCTGCTGGGCCTCTCCCGCGGCCCCTGCTCGGACTCCCTCCCGCGCGGCTGGGCCCGCGGAGAGCCGCTGGCGCCGAGGCGTCCTTCTTTCCAGCAGGTGCCGGCCTGCCACCGACTTGCAACCACCCCAAAAATTCAAAAACCAAAAAAGATACTCCAGATTTCGTAATAAAGGGAGGGGGGTCTCATTTCGGGGGGGGGTCTCTTCCAGGCTATCTTGGAGGGCCTGGGGGGGTCTGGGGACGATGTTTTGGAGGGTTCTCCCACGAGGGGGGGTCTGAAATGGCTTGTGTTGGAGGGTCCAGACCCCCTCCCTTTCATCACGAAATCTGGAGTATAAAAAAGGACCGACTTGCAGCCACGTTGCTTGATGTCTGCGGTGTGGCCTGCTGTATCTCCGGGACCGGCCCTTGACTCGGAGGTGGAAAGACCTGCCTTGACGCGTCGAGTTTCAGGAATTGGCCGTGTTCGGTTCGCGAGGGGGCGTCGCGGCCGTCATGTTTACGGGTCCGGGTCCGTCGGTTTCGGTCCCAGGCCGTGATTTTAAGGGGAGGTTTACTAAAGGGAGGTATGTTCACCGCCGATTGGTGTCCTCACGCATGCCAGCCATCTCCGCGCTTGTTGGTGGGTTCTCCTCGAGCGGCTCGCCGCTTCAGCCTCGTTGCCCGCTGCCTCCTGGAGCCTCGTGATGTTGGCCTGGAGCTTGCTGTTTGCCCCTCGCGCACCACACGTCACGCCTGTCAAGGCTATGGCCAAATCCCTGGCGGGCTGTCTGACGGTCTGCATCCCAGCTATTGGCACTTGAGGTTGACCTGATACGGGGACGGGGCTTGGCTGCCGAGAAGCCAGGTTCTGCTGTCCGCCTGCGATGGTAGGGATGGCGCTGATCTGACCCATCGGGTACGAGGCCGCGGCGCACCCAAACGCAGCGGCGCAGAATCTCGGGGGCCGTCGGTGGAGGCCGCCCCTATGGAGCCACGAAAGGTGTGAGGGGTGTGCTGAAATGGGTGGGGCGGCCGCATGATGCATGAGGACATGGCCACTAGGGCCTTCGGTGGAGCTCTTCATGGGGCCACGAAACGTTTGAGGGGTGTGCCGAAATGGGTGGGGAGGCCACATGTGGACATGGCTACTGGGGCCTTAGGAGGAGCTCCCTGTGGGGCCACGAAACGTGTGAGGAGTGCGCCGAAATTGGTTGGACGGCCGCGTGTGGACACCGCCACTGGGGCCTTCGGCGGAGCCCCCTATGAGGCCACGAAACGTGTGAGGGGTGTGCCGACATGGGTGGGGCTGGTGGGATCCCAGCCCATGCCCTGGTCTGCGGCTGGAGCAGGTCGGAGGTTGGGCCAGCTGGTGTTGTCTGCGTGTGTTGGGCCCGATGCTCGTTAAAGACCCGTCAGCTTCAGCCAGTAGTTGGTGGATGTCCAATTGCTGGACCTCTGGAGAGCTTCTCGGCGGCTGTGCGGCTCTGTTCTGCTTCGCCGGATTCGGCGGTTGAGCGGGCTGAGCAGCTGCGGCGAGCCCAGGATCTTGCCAAGGCCAACGATGTCGAGCTCTAGCCCGTCCCAGGCGTAGAATTGCCTAGAGAGCCTGGCGGGCTGGCGGACTCGCCGATGCGCGATGGCCATGGCCATGGCATCCTTTTCTTCAACCTGTCCCTGTCGCTGGTGGCTGGTTCATCCCCTGAGGTCCGACGGTTCAGGTGTCATGAAGTGCGTGAGGAGTGCACCAAATTGAAGCCTTTTTGAGCCGTCTTAAACGGCGAATCGAGTATCTGTGGAGGTCCATGCGGCACGAAGTGCTTGAGGGCTGTGCCGAACTTGGGCTCCCAAGAAAATGGGCGTTCGAATCTAAATATCCACCAGCCTGGAAGCGCAGATTTATTCTTGCGCATTCCATCAGCCGAGGGGCGCAGATCACTAATTCTTCTTACGCGCCCCAGTAGCAACGAGCGGCGGAATGGACGGAACCGTTCCTAGCATACATCGTCATGCCATCATGTCGCCCTCCAATTCGTCATCGTCACCTCATCATCCAAATTGTGTGCCAGGCACTGCTCAGACCGCCCTGTTACAGCTGCCTTATTGCCGCCGAATTCAACCGCTTCGCGCACTCCTTCCCCCCAGTTTGCACACCCGTTGCAATATGCGAAAGCGCACCAGTGGATGACCCTGCAATTGAAAAGGGGTGTGTGCTCGCAGAACCCCCCCCTCCCCCCTTCAAAGGGGGGGTGAGATTGTCGACCCCTCCCCCACACACACACACCCTTAAGGGAGGGGGGGGTCCGCACCTCCCCCTCTCCGCCCCCTCCCCTTGAAGGCGGGGGGAGGTCTGGACCCCCCCTCTCCCCCCCTTGGCGCAGGAGGGGGGAGGGCGGTCGATCCCTCCCCCTCCTTTTGCGCCGAACAGGTGGCCGGGGAGGGGGCCTCTCCCGCAACGGGGGGGTCTGGGATATTGAGTAGTACATACTGAGTAGAGACTAGTGAGTAGTGACTAGTGGGTAGGGAATAGTGAATAGTGATTACTGAGTAGATAGTAGCCGAGCAGTGAGGATTCAGTAGTGAGCAGTGAGTAGTGAGGAGGGAGTGGTGCGCAGTGAGTAGTGAAGTAACGAGTAGGGAGTAGCGAGTAGTGTAGAGCGAGTAGCGAGTAGGGTAGTGTAAGCCGTGAGTATTGGGAGTAGTCAGTAGCAAGCAGCGAATAGGGAGCAGTGAGTAGCGAGTAGCGATAAGGGAGTAGTGAATAGTGAGAAGTGAGTTTTGAGTAGTGTGTAGCGAGTAGTGAGTAGTCAGTAGCGAAAAGTGAGTAGTGAGTAGATGGTAGCGAGTAGTGACGAGTGAGTAGTGACTAGGGAGTAGTGCGCAGTGAGTAGTGAGTAGTGAGTAGTGGGCAGCGGGGAGCGGGTAGTGAGTAGTGCGTGGCGAGTAGGGAGTAGCGAGTAGTGAACAGTGAGTAGCGAGTAGGGCACTGTGAGTAGTGAGTAATGGCGAAGGAGTAGTCAGTATTGAGTAGGGAGTAGTGAGTAGCGAGTATGGAATAGCGAGAAGTGAGTAGTGAGTGGTGAATAGTGAGTAGTGAGTAGTAGGTGGTGGGGAGTGGGTAGTGAGTAGTGAGTAGCGGGCAGGGAGTAGCGAGTAGTGAATAGCGATCAGCGAGTGGGACATTGTGAGTAGAGAGTAGTGAGGAGGGAGTAGTCAGTAGTGCATAGTGAGTAGGACTAGTGAGTAGCGGAGTCGCGAAGGGAGTAGCGAGTAGTAAATAGGGAGTAGGGAGTAGGGAGTAGTGGGAGGAGAGACGTGGGTAGTGAGTAGTGGGTAGTGCGTAGGGAGTAGCGAGTAGGGAGTAGTGAGTAGTGAGTAGTGAGTCGTGAGTAGTGAGTAGTGAGTACTGCGTAGTGAGTAGTTAGTAGCGACGTGTGACTCGCGAGCAGGACATGGTGAGTATTGAGTAGTGAGTAGTGGCTAATGGGTAGTGAATGTTGCGTTTCGGGTAGCGAGCAGCGAGTAGGGAGTAGCGAGTCGTGAGTAGTGAGTAGTGAGTAGTGAGTATTGAGTACAGTGTAAGGAGTAGGGAGTAGCGACTTGCGAGCAGCGGAAAGTGAGTAGTGAGCTGCGGGCACTGAGTAGTGAGTAGTGAATTGTGAGTACTCAGTAGTGAGTAGTGGTTAGTGGGTAGTGAATAGTGGTTCATGAGTAGTGAGTAGTGGGTAGTGAGTAATGTTTACTGAGCAGTGAGTATTGAGTAGTGGGTAGTGAATAGTGAGTATTGATTAGCGAGTTGGAAGTTGTGAGTAGTGAGTAGTGAGTAGTGAGTAGTGAGTAGTGGGTAGTACGTAGTGAATAGTGGGTAGTGAGTAGTGAGTCGTGCGTAGTGAGCA